AATATAGTGTTTTCAACCATTCTATCTGATAATTCAATACATATTCATTTTTCCCATTCCATCTCTTCCCTTCCTTAGCATAAATGACTCGGCTATTAACTCAATATCTAACTATATAGTAGGGAAGATTCAGAAATATAAGAGTAAAAAGAAAATTAACTCTAGCCTGGGCAACAAAGTGAGACTCTGTCTCAAAAAAAAAAAGAAAGAAAATTAAATATGTTTACATTATGAATGTGATCCAATAGAACAAGTTGATTGACAGAATTCAATCATTGTGCTTTTCCTAACCCATACGGACCTTCTAGATTAACATGATGCATGTGTATGACTTGAGAGGTCCTGGTGTTCTTTGAGCCTCCAAGTGTTAAGTTTCATAATAGAAACATAATGCATACTGATAGATCTGCAGGAGGAGCACAAAAGCAAAAGTCAGGAGCTACAGTATGTCTGGGTCCCAGTTTCTAAGTAATCCCTGATGATAGGACAAAACACTACCAAGCATTCAGAAATATTGGGGGGATAAATGACATCCCCATTTCTGTAAGCATTCTGAGTTCTCATAAGAGAAGGAAGAAGCTCTGTTGTGTTCAAGGAAATCAATTTAACAAGAATTATCTGTAAGAAAATTAGGCTTCTAGAGAATAATTACTCAATAAATGCCTTCTATTAATTTTATCTTTTAACTTCCTCTGTTTGACAAGGTGTCTGGTAGAATTCAAAAGCTACCCAAAAACACATCGTGCCTGCCCACTGAGGAACAAACTAAGGGAACTTTCAATGTGATAATTTCTTTACGTGGTCAACTCATTTAATTATGTCAACAAGCCTCTGAGACAGAGACTGTTCTGAAAGAGGGATTGTTCTAAGGTAGCAATGTTCTATAAATACACATACATAATCATATATGTGTTGTTTGTATCTACGAGGAGTTTCTGTGTGTCCTTCTTCTGTTTTATTGCTGTTTTATTGGAGATTCTCTTTTATTTCTGAATTTGGGTCCTCATCAAAGGATTTAAGCTTGGCTTTTAGGTGAATGTATAAAATCATACCCGAACTGGGTTCCCTGGCAGTTCTGGCTGTGTTGATCCTAAAGCCAAGGTCTTTGCTAACACAGGGGATTGCATCTGCTGAATGTTAATGGATGTTATTGTGACTGTCTGGAACAACTGTACATTCCATTCCAAAGATGTAATCATGACAACAAGGTGTCCAAACAACCAATATTCAGAATTTTTATTCTCCATTAAAATGATACAGTATATTTTTCTAATTCTAAGGTTTCTTTCCTTCCCTCATCCCTCTCTCCTATCCTGTAACAAATTGAATTGTGGAAGTAGCTCATGTAGAGCCTTTTTCATTGGATTTTGTAGTGACCATCTGATTTGGATTTGGTAGTGAGCATTCAGAAATATCGGGGAGATAAATGACATCCCCATTTCTGTAAGCATTCTGAGTTCTCAGAAGAGAAGGAAGAAGCTCTGTTGTGTTCAAGGAAATCAATTTAACAAGAATTATCTGTGATTGGTAATGATATATCACTGCAGCACCCCTTGGATGTTGATCAAATTCTCTTTTCCTAAATGAAAGAAGTCAGACAAGAATATGAAATAATCAGACAAAAAGAGGCCATTTCATTACCTTCTTTCTGTTGCAAATCCCAAGGAACCATTCTTATCATCCGTCAGAAAAAAAAAAGTCAGAGACATTATATGCAAACATTAGTCTCCAAACACATTAACTATGCAGCAGCATCTCTAGGCAACCCCCTCTTTTTTTTAGAATTTTGAAATATAATATGCAGCTGTGTCTCCCTTTTCTGAGAGGCCCCTGTACAGGAGAGGTGGGTCAGAGTGTCATGTTTCATCAGATCTTGAGAGCCTTCACAGTCTTTCCCATATTCTACCAACCCAAATGTAGGCAATGTTTCATTATTTTCTACTGCATAACGAACCACCTCAAATATAGAGGCTGGAAATATCAACAATTTATTATTTTCATTTGTCATAATTCTTTGGGTTGACTGGGTGGTTCTTTTGCTTCAGGTGGTGTCAGCTTGGGTCTTGGGATAGTTGAAAGATCAAAAATAGTCTCACTCACATGACTGCAAGTTGATGCAGGCTACTGATGGGGAGATCAGATGGGGCTGGCAGCAGGGACACTCCATTTTCCACATGGCCCCTCCATAAGACTGCTTGAGCTCCTCACAGCATGATGGCTAGGTTCCAAGAAGGGGCACTCCACAAGGTAAAAGTAAAAGCTGAAGACCCCTTAACGCACAGTTGTGGAAAATCCACATTATCTCAACTGCATTTTATTGATCAAAAATAAAACAGGGCCAACTCAGATTCCAGGAAAAGGGAAACAGATTTATCTTCTTGATGGGATGGAGGCAAAGTCACATCCCAAGAGAGCATGTGGAATGGGACATATTGTTGCAGCCTTCTTTGGAAACATAGTCTACCACAGGCACCCAACTGAAGCACTGTTTCTCCCAGATCCCTACAGAGTCCCTTACCCCATCAACCACTTCAAGCTTCTGCCACAAAGATCTTACCTCTTCTCCTCATCCTCATCCAGAGGCAGTCCAGCTTTGCCCTCCCCTATACATCTGTGTTCCATTGAGGAGTCCTCAGTTATCCACACCTGTGAGTTAGGTGCTGCTTGACACAATCACAGAAATTTCAGATTCAATTTACTATAAATTTGATACTCATCTAAGTTGTGGAGGGTTGTTTGATCATTTGACCATTATACTATTTAGTTTATGTAAATGTCATTTCTGTAATGGAAAGAAGGAAGCCATGTGAGGTTAGATAATAACATTCTGGAAACCTTATCACATGCTAAACACTTTCTATAGATTGCCTCATTTTCACTTTGAAAAAGTCCTTTAGGAAAGATAGTATAATCAACATTTTCAGATAATATATCTCATATTTATAAAGGGTAGGTAACATTTCTTGGGATGAGCATCTAATGAATGGCAGTAAGAGGATTCTAACTTCTGCCTTTCTGTTATGTGTTTCCAGGATTCAGCGACAGGTTATCTTAAACCTGGTAACCATTATGTCCAGGCTACAAGAAGGAGAAGAAGGGGAGAAGGGGGAGAAGGGGAGGAGGAAAAGGAGGAGAGGAAGAAGAGAAGAGGAAGAGGAAGGAGGAGGAGGAGGAGAAGGAGAAGGAGAAGAAGAAGAAGAAGAAGAAGAAGAAGAAGAAGAAGAAGAAGAAGAAGAAGAAGAGGAGGAGGAGGAGGAGGAGGAGGAGGAGGAGGAGGAAGAAAGAAGATGATGAAGATGATGGGGGAGGAGGAGATGATGATGTCAACAGAGAAAATGAAATTATACCCTTCGTCCTAAAAGGCTAGACTAGGGAAACTACATGGGAGTAACTTTATTTTATATCCTTTTATAATAGCAAAACAGAAAGGGGCTTAGATAAGTTAAATACTTATCCCAGATCACCAAACACATAAATATGGTAGTAGGGATTCAAAACCACCATTGACGCTAAATCCTGCATTTCCCACATCCTTAATACTGTAGAGTTCTAATCGCCAAATCAGCTGACTTTCAGGTTTATACAATCAGGGGAGTGGTGAATGCATTGGTATTTGGTCTAAATTTGTTTATGTTGAACTTTGTACATAAGCAAATTTTTAACACATTCTATGTGACAAAAATCACCATGAATAAGATTAAAAGTCATAAAAACATGATATCTATCCGCAAAATATATTATAAAAGTGGTTAATCGCTTCTCAGCCTTTTGGCTAAGATCAAGTGTAGTACCAAGTGTAAAAGTGGTGAATATTCTTAATATATACAGAGCCCCTACGAATCAACAGAACAGGCTAAGCATATGACTGCTTTATATGTGTATATATGTACATAGATGTCAGTATAATAAATGAAAAGAAATTATCAAAGGATTTTTAAATCAAAAAGTATTTTTGGAGGAAGGAGGAAATATAGACAACTTCACCTTCCAGATTATAAATGTCTGCATTATTTAATTTTTACAACATGCATATGTTTCTGTCACATGCCTTAGAGAGTTCTGAAAATGTCTGAGGATTCTAGGAATATTTTATTTATTAAATAAATTTTCAGACAGGTCTCTACTAAGTTAAGGCAATGATCTGTTCCTCACTCCCTTTTGTCTCTTTTGTCTGAGATGTTTACCTGTCATTTTTGGCTCTGATCAAGAGCTTGAACTCTGCTGTGTTTTACAAAATTTCTCCGATGAATAAATATAATATTTACGAAGAGGGAAAAATATGATAGGCATGAATTTCAAGCCACACTTGAGCACTCAAGTGTACAAGAAGTATTACTTTGTGTACTTTTCTATATTGTAACTGAACCTAATTTCCATTTTGAGCCCCCAGATGGCTGTGACTAGGAAACATAATGTCTCCAATTCAGAGTAAATTCAGTTCTTTCTTGGTTTGCATAGTCAATTTATGATAAATTCAATCAAGTTATGTCTTTCTTCCACCCTCTGCTTCTCCTCAAATGACATCTAAATTCTCAGGGCTTATCCAGTGCCTTGATCTTTATCTGTCCTTGATGACATACCCCAAGATATCTGAATTCCCATCTAAATCTCAAACATGTGGTTCGTGTTGTCATGTTACAACCTCCCATCCTGACCATGGACTGGTTCAGGACTGTAGACAGTCTTGCTCAGCTAACCTTTGTGCCCTATTGGAAACCTAGAAAAATTGGACTATATTCCCACTCCTTAGAGGGATGTGGGAAACAGAGTGGGGCTACCTAAGGCCTTCTCAGGACATCATATGTAATGAAGCCATCTCTGTTATACTATACCCACATTATAATGACACAGAATTCTAGTGAGACTATGGTGCCTAGGTATTTGGACAAAAAGAGAGAAGTATCGGAGTGTCGGTTGGGCCTGGGTGGGAAGAGAGGTCCAAGAAAGCCACCACTGTGTCTGTCTGTAACATGAAACTTTTTCTGTAGTCTAGCGAAAAGCCTGCTCTCCTCTGGTGCAAGTGTGGTAGCTATTGACAACAAAGTCAAGCAAGCTATGGATCTGGTGAAAAGCCATTTGATGTATGCCGTTAGAGAGGAAGTGGAAGTCCTGAAAGAGCAAATCAAAGAACTAATAGAGAAGAATTCCCAGCTGGAGCAGGAAAACAATCTGCTGAAGACACTGGCCAGTCCTGAGCAGCTCGCCCAGTTTCAGGCCCAGCTGCAGACTGGTTTCCCCGCCTGCCACCACGCAGCCACAGGGGACACGCAGCCCCCCAGCCTAGCCGGCGTCCCGGGGCTCAGGGCCCACCGCGTAGCTGCCTGTGCCTGCGCAGAATTGGCTGCTGCTTGTGAACTGGACAGACCGGAGAAGATGTTCTAGGGAGGATCCGCCTCCACCGTCACCCATTTCATTGCTCGCTGCGAAGAGACGTGAGACTGACACATGCCATTATCTCTTTTTTCCAGTATTAAACACTCATATGCTTTTGGCTTGAAGAAGTTTCTTAGTTGGGTGAATTAAAGGTTAATCAGAGAATTAGTATGGATGTACTGGGACCTGATGCAGCTTGGCAGATAACTGAGAAATGGTTTAATTCATGCTGAGGAGCTGTGTGCCTTTCCATCCCTCCCGCTCCCTACCCCCTCTTCCCAGCGTTCTCTCCTGCTCGCAGGTAGTGTGCTACTCCGGGTTATGCAGCGTGGAGCTCCTCATTGGACTTCCCTCTCTCCTCTCCTCCCTCCATGAGGAACGTGACAGGGAGGTAAAAGTAAAGACTTAACTGATGGGGAACATAGTTCATTGTACCAACTGACGACTGTTACCAAAATCCATAAAAATACTAGTACTGTACCTGTACTGAAACAGTGGATGACACAAAACTATTAGAGTGACAAAACGTTGACAGGTAGCTGGGACCTAGGCTAACTGACTATGAAGGTTGTTTTGCTTATTGTATATTTGTGTATGTAGTGTAACTGTTTTGTACAAAAGAGGACTGTAACTACTATTTAGGTTGTACAGATTGAAATTTAGATGTTTCATTGGCTGTCTGAAGAGGTGTGGGCTGTCTTTTCTATCCCAATCTACATAAAAACTTGCTACATGACAAAAACCACACCTAGAGAAATTGTAAGAATTTGGCACAGTTATTTGTGTAATCTGACATCTTCTAACTGCTGAATATCCTGAAGTAAATCCCTGTTTATTGAAGTCTTTCGATTGAGCTGGTTGAATACTTTGAAAAATGATCAGTTCTAGCTAATGAAATGGATTTTCCCAGTAGGGGGGGTTCTGCATATTACCTGTATAGTAGTTATATGCATATGTTTCTGTGCATGTTCTCCACACAGTTATAATGTGTCACTGTATTTAACTGTTGCACTTGTCAACTTTCAATAAAGCATATAAAATGTTGATAGAAAATAAAAATAAAAAAGAGAAGTATCACTGGGTAAAAGGTATATGTGAAGGGGCAGGGAATATATCAGATAATGTTTCACCTTGCCACATTTTCTACCCTTACAAAATCCTTGTTCCATCACAAAGAAAAGGTATGACATCTAGGTGTCACCTCTTCAAATAAGGTAGGAATATCATTGTTTTCCAAAATTTGTCTAGAAGAGTAATTCCCATACTCAAATCAGTAAGTGAGTGCTATCTTCTCCAGGATTCCCTTTTGTCAAGTGGATAAGGCTGGTTACTGGGTAGATTTTTCACCTCTTTCATTTAAGGGTGGTTACTAGTTGTCCCAGGCCTAACTGCCGCCAGACAAAGCATTCTTACCTAAGCCTCCTATGCAGGATTGTATGATACAATGTAAGTCCCCCACCCCTGGGGCTTAGATTCCAGCATAAATCGATTTATCTCATCCTGGATTGATTAAGCAAACCCTAAGGTGACTATATTTACCGTTGACTGGCAAGATTAGGTTTTCTACAACAGAAAGAATGAGTCTTAAAATGTATACTAAGATCAGTTATATAAAAACAGATACATTGCTTTACCCACTGAGCTTTATATCCTGGAAATTTATACCCACTACAAAATAAAAGTTACTATTAAAAGATTATGAAATAATCTATACAGTATGATCTCAAATACCTTGAAAAATGGATATGCATAGAAAAAGATTAGTAGGATATACTCTCAATTTTTCTTGCTGGTGACTCTCAAAATCTACAATTCTAATAATTCTTTCATTCAAGAAATTTTTATTGGATATTATTAGATATTGGACACTGGAACCCCAATTCCATAGCTTCATTTCACAACTTATTTCTCTTAAATTCCAGACTCATATAGAAAACTGCCTACTACACATGATGATTTGAGGAAGATAAATATTACTAACCAACTGAATGTCTGTGACCTCACATGGACTATCCTCAACAAGTTCAGACCAACCCAGCCCTGAATTCTTAAAGCTCACCATGTAAAAGGGAGGCCATGTGGCACAATGGCAAGACCTTGGGCTTTTAAGAGAGACACAACTGTGTTAGAACTCCTGCTCTGTCTCTTATTAACTGTAATCCTGGAAAGTGTAATTAACTTCTCTGAGCCTCATAGAGCATACTTAGGAAAAATATGAGTAATAAAAGAAATTCTCATTTCTACCTACAGAAATTTTGAGCATTTAAAGAAAATAAATTGGCAACGTGCCTAACAGAATTTCCATACTGGGCACTCAGCAAGTTAAATTCCCATCTCATCCCCTCCCTTCTGTAGCAGAGGTGACATTACTATAATGAAATAGCACAATAATGTGATAAAAAGCATTCGGAACTGCTACAGAAAAGTGAAACCAACACACATTTACATCATGTAGGAAATGCAATGCATTCTTTATTATATTTGGCCAAACCACATGAAGTTGCTGATATTTAATCATTTTTTACCTACGAAAACAATTTTATATATTTTACTAGTAAAATTATTTGCATATTGAATTCAAAGAGGGAGGAAAATCTTCATCTTTTTTCTATTAACTTGGGTTTTTTCCCCTTCTCCTTCTTTTGGATCTCAAGATAAACATCAGGCAGGTGCATAATATGAGTGTCTCTGCTATCCTGTTAGCCACAGAGAGACTATGGAAGCACAAAACTGCACTGATAGGTTTGCTGGTCAGGATGCTGGAGGGAGGGTCAGGATTAGTGCTTGGGTTACAGGACTGGAGACATCACTGATGACAGGGCCTTGGATGAATCACTTCTCCTTTGCTTTCCTGGAATGATTACCAGGATCAATTGGGGAGCCTGCCCAGCTGTCCTGGAATGTTGTGGAGACCTGTAAGACCCCAGCTAAGCAAAAATTTGGGGTTCTCAGCTGGGAAGATCTCTTAAGACCACCAAATTATTTTAACATAAATTAATTTGCAAGAATAACAGAATACTACACATTAGGCACACACATCAATTACTTATGGAATGCCCAAAAACACTTACGAAATACAAATGACCATCCAGATAGACATGGATTCTGCCCTCTACAACACTAAGGAAACTCACATGAACTGTGCCTGCTAGTGTGCTATGAGCTTTCCATGTACTGTCTCCTTTAATACTTAAAAGTAAATCTAGGAGGCAAGATCTATTATTTCAATTCTTCAGATGAAAAGTCTTACATTTCATTAATTGAATCTCACAGGATGTATGTGAGAGAGCCCAGAATTCACATCCAGCCTTGTTATTTCTCCAATCTGTGCTCTTTCCCCTTCAGGGCTTTGCCATGGGGCTGAGTTTCTGGAGTGTCCAGCTCTAGGCCTTTTAGCCAAATGACAAGCATGGCATGTCTGTTACCATCAAGAAACCAATAAACATTATTGAATGAGTGTTTGTAGGTGTATGACATAGCATGGTCAAAGGGAACAACGTGAGCAAAGACAACTCATGGGGATGATTGGCCTTCCTGAGACCTGAATCTGGGCTGCTGGGGCTGGACACCCTTCAGAAGGGAGTTCTTTGGTCTAGGATGGTCTTATCATTCAAAAACCCAACTATATATCTCAGGCAACAATATAGCACAACCAGAAGGCAAATGAGTTGTAAAAATTATCTGAGACTTGTTCTTCACTATCAGTTACATACTGATACATTAGCTCAAATTGAAAAAAGGAAATTTTAATGGAAATAGAACTAAGTATCAGTTAGATACTCCATTGAGTGCTCATCTTTGTTGCTGTCCTCCAGCTCAAATTGCAAGTTGAATTTTCTCATACAATTTTCAAACGCATCCTTGTTCCTCATCGAATTCCCCTGGGTTAATAAGGAGCTGTGAGATGAAAGCTTCATCAGTTTAGGGATGTCCAAAAGAAGTCTCGATGCTTATTTCTGTGTGTATGTGAGTTCATGTTCATGAGTGGGTGCGCATGTGTGTGTGTTTCTGCCTAAAGCAGTTCTGTGTCTTTCTGTTTCTTTTGTTGCCATGTTCTCAAGCTTTCTGTCTTGTTCTCTAATTCAGATCTTTGTCAAAGAAAGTAAAGCTATAATTTAAGTGGATATAGGAATCATACTTGCCCTGGCTTCTTTGGTAGTTCTGTGTAATACAGCCTTGATGTCAGCCTTTACTGACTGAGGAGTGAACCCATGGAATGTTGATAGATGTTATAGTGACAAGCTAGGACATCTGGCAGATTACACATAAAACTCTAGAGATAAAAGTTCAAGAATAAAAGGGAGGCTTTAAGGCCAAGATAGTGGAGTTTCTAGGAAGCAAATATTTATTTGAATTTTGACTCTCCATTTGAGAATTGAGTGTTTCTTTGTCGGTTTTTCATTAACTAGAGTATCCCCTGTCATTCATTCACTTATCACATTATTCATTCTTATATTATTCCCAGCCTTGTAGTCTCTAATGCTCAGTACTTTTCACTGAAAATTCTGCCAACATTTTCCTGATGAGTTTAAGTTGCTACAATATCCATTATATATTGGTATAATTTGTCCTTAACAAATGGAAAGAAAGAGTCCAAAATATAAAATGGTCACTGAAAGAGAGGCCTTTTCATTCCCTCATTTCTTTTCCAAACTCGCTCCTACAAACAACTCCTCAGAACAATCCTGGCAGTCAGAGACATCATATGAAGACATTAAGGTCCAGACCCACCACCTGCCTCTGCTGTGACTCATAATATAAACATAGACCCTCTATGTAGCCTGTTTCCTAGAATTTTAAAATATAACCCACAGCTGGTGTCTCCCCTTCTGAGAGACCCCTGTGTATGAGAAGCCCTTTCATGTGTGGGCCAAAAGAGCCCTTGGTTCAGTGGAGCTTTACATGGTTTTTTAATCCTGAAAGTCTTCACAAACTTATGTCTTTCTCCAAATGTATTAGTACAATCTGAAGCACCACCTCTCCCATCCCTTACTCAATCATCCACTTCAAGCTTCTGACACAAAGAGCCCATCTCTTCTCCTCACCATCATCCAGACACAGTCAAGCTTTGCCCTCTCCCAGACATCTGTGTTGTGTTGAGAAATCCTCAGGCATCGGTCTTCCA